GAAGATCCTAATGGTAAGTCATACCCTTAAGTTTTCATTTACAAAAAGTACAAAAAAATACGATATCACTTACCATTTATTTTACCAATACAATCCAAAAGGTTCTGTGTGGGGTAACATTGCATGGGCCCACTCGATATCTGAAGACCTAATCAATTGGACCCCACTAGAACCAGCAATCGAACCATCGAAGCCATTCGATCAGTTCGGTTGCTGGTCTGGGTCTGCCACCATGCTTCCTGGTGACAAACCGATCATTTTATACACCGGACTAATCTCCGAGCAGCCTGAACCCGGTTATCAAGTCCAAAACTATGCAATGCCTGAAAACCCTTCGGATCCATACCTAACAAAATGGATCAAACCTAACAACAATCTCATCATAAAGCCAACCCTAGAGAATGCATCCGCATTCCGTGATCCAACAACAGCTTGGATGCTCAATGGACAATGGGAAATGACGATAGGTAGTAAGCAGGGTATGGTAGGTGTGTCGTATTTGTATCGAAGCACGGATTTCATTAAGTGGACCAGGGTCGATCACCCATTGCATCAGAAAGAGAATACGGGTATGTGGGAATGTGTGGATTTCTACCCGGTATCCACCAAAGGAGAGATAGGGTTGGACACTAGGGTAATTGATGGTGATCATGTCAAACATGTTTTTAAGGTTAGCCTTGAGATCACTAAATTTGATTACTACACGATTGGAAAATACGATGCATCACAAGACATATACATCCCGGATGAAGGAATGATCGATGGTTGGGCGGGTTTAAGATACGATTGGGGGAATTTTTATGCTTCTAAGTCGTTTTTTGATCCTTCAAAGAACCGTAGGGTTATCTGGGGTTGGGCTAACGAGTCCAGTACTGAAGATGAAAATGTCAAGAAAGGATGGGCTGGAATCCAGGTTTGTAGTTTCTTTCTTACATATGTAAAGCTTAATATATCTACGCTTTGCCTTTGATAGTTTCGACCAAGGCTTCAAATCAAGATTTGGCGATGGTGTAGTTGATACCAAGAACTGTTTGGTTAGACCCTTCTGGAAAGCAGTTGTTAAATTGGCTTGTTACTGAACTGGAAACCTTAAGAGATAAGAATGTGAAGCTAAGCAATACGAAACTCAAACAGGGAGATAAAGTTGAAGTTAAAGGAATTACTGCTGCACAGGTTCTCATATTTTTTGTTGTATGATTATAATTATGATTATGATTATGATTATGATTATAATATGATAATACAGGCGGACGTGGATGTGGTTTTTAGCTTCCCTGGTTTGGGTAAGGCAGAGGCGTATGATACTAAATGGGATGAAATATACCCACCGGAAACTCTTGCGAAAAACATATGTCAAGTCATGGGTACAACCAAACAAGGTGGGCTAGGGCCATTTGGTCTTTTAACATTGACCTCGAAGGATTTCCAAGAATACACACCGGTTTTCTTTAGGGTTTTCAACACTTCTGACACCAAGCATAAAGTTCTCATGTGTTCTGATGCTATGCCGTAATCTCTCATCACTTTTTTTTTTTTTTTTTTTAAATTCTCTACGTGTGATTACGTTGATCCACAATGTCGTGACTAATGTTGATTACTTTTGTTTTTTGGAAAAAGTAAAAAGGTCAACATTGAACAATCAAGAGTACAAGCCATCGTTTGGAGGGTTTGTGGATGTAGATTTAGCCGACAACAAGATCTCACTTAGGAGCTTGATCGATCACTCGGTTGTGGAAAGCTTTGCAGCTGGGGGTAAAACGGTCATAACATCTAGGATTTATCCGACAGTGGCAATTAACGAGAATGCACATTTGCATGTATTTAACAATGGAACAGAGATTGTCACTATTGAGAGACTCGATGCTTGGTCCATGAAGAATCCTAAAATGAACTAACTAAAGTAGTTGTTTTGATACCGGATTAGAGGAAGCAAAAATAGAAGTTGTTAGGCTTTTATTGTGATATGTATTAGAGATTTCGTAAATAATAAAAGACTAGAAGTTTATATATTCATGACATTACAATAGCGGCTCATCATAATAATAATCGGAATAAATAAATAACTGATGACTTAATTTAACCAGTGATTCGTCATAACTCAACTCCCCACCCTCGTAACTTCATTAATAACTTCCCTCATATATAACTCCCTAAAAACAAAACTCCTCTCCCTCCTTCACACTATAAATTGCCATTAATCTATTCTACCTTTTCAACTTAATATATACAGATATCTTTAAGAATCGTTAAATATTATGAAAAACATGGGGTCTTTCAATGTGTTTGTCTGGGGTTTTGTAGCGTTGGTATGTTTCTCACATATGTTGAATAACTTCAAAGGAGGAGTGATGGGGTTCCACGAGATTTCTAAACATTTACAAAACATTAGCACCATAGAAATCCAGGAAGCTCACAGAACTGGCTACCACTTTCAACCTAAGCAAAACTGGATCAATGGTAAAGTCAAATCATGGCTTTTTAGTTTTTTACAAGAAACATAGAAATTGTAATTTTCTCTAATATCGTTTACTAAATATTTTTATTTTATCTTTTCAATGCATGATTTGCCGCCGAAATTGGTCAAACGATTAAAAGATCCCAATGGTAAGTTAAACTTTTACACACTTCGCTTTCATCTACAAATTTACACAAAATAATGATAATATTTAATTTAACTTGTGTTTTGCAATTTGGTGATATTTACAGCACCAATGTTTTACAAGGGAATATACCATTTATTCTACCAATACAATCCAAAAGGTTCTGTATGGGGTAACATAGTGTGGGCCCACTCAGTATCTGAAGACCTAATCAACTGGACCCCACTAGAACCAGCAATCGAACCATCGAAGCCATTCGATCAGTTTGGTTGCTGGTTTGGGTCCGCCACCGTCCTTCCCGGTGACAAACCGGTCATTTTATACACCGGAATAACCGCCGAGCAACCCAAACCCGGTTATCAAGTCCAAAACTATGCAATACCCGAAGACTCTTCGGATCCATACCTAACAAAATGGATCAAACCCGATGATAATCCAATCATAAAACCAACTCAAGAGAACGCCTCAGCATTTCGTGACCCCACAACCGCTTGGATGCTCAATGGTCAATGGGAAATGACTGTAGGTAGTAAGCGGGATATGGTAGGTGTAACGTATCTATACAGAAGCCCGGATTTTATAAACTGGACCATTGTTGATCACCCTTTGCACGAGACAGAAAATGTTGGTATGTTTGAATGTCCTGATTTCTACCCGGTATCGATTATGGGAGAGAACGGGTTGGATACTACAGTAGTCGAAGGTGAAATCAAACATGTTTTTAAGGTTAGCCTTGATATGACTAGGTATGATTGCTACACGATTGGAAAATACGATATTGAACAAGATATATACATCCCGGATGAAGGAATGATTGATAGTTGGGCTGGTTTAAGATACGATTGGGGGAATTTTTATGCTTCTAAGTCGTTTTTTGACCCTTCGAAAAACCGTAGGGTTATTTGGGGTTGGGCTAATGAGTCTAGTCCTATAGATGAATATGTCAAGAAAGGATGGGCTGGAATCCAGGTTAATTTTGTAAAACCTTTAACTACCTTTGGTTTTATATTATATATAGTTTTGATTGATTTTTTAGCGATGGTGTAGTGTATTCCACGAACCGTTTTGTTAGATCCATCTGGAAAGCAATTGCTGCTATGGCCGGTTGCTGAATTGGAAACTCTAAGAGATGTGAATGTGCAACTAAGCAACATGGAGCTCAATCACGGAGATAAAGTTGAAGTTAAAGGAATCACTGCTGCCCAGGTTCGATATTCTATTCTTCTAGCCCGAGCAACATACTTACAACATACACAATCTACTTTAAATAGAAACATAACATCAATTTGTCCCCCATTTGGACTCTGGATCCACCACTGATTATGATTATGATTATGATTATGAATACATGCAGATGTGGATGTGGTTTTTACGTTCCCAAGTTTGGATAAAGCAGAGGCGTATGATAATGCATGGGACGAAACATACCCACCGGAAACCCTTGCGGAAAATATATGTGAAGTCATGGGTACAACCAAACAAGGTGGGCTAGGGCCATTTGGTCTTTTAACATTGACATCCAATGATTTCGAAGAATACACACCCGTGTTTTTTAGGGTTTTCAACACTCCTAACACCAACCGTAGAGTTCTCATGTGCTCCGATGCTATGCCGTAATCTCTCGAACTTTACTTCTTTTTCTTTTCTTTTTTTTTTTCTTATAAAAATTGACACTCGGTTTCTTTTTATTTTTTGGAAAACTTAAAGGTCAACGTTGAACGATCAAGAGTATAGGCCATCGTTTGGGGGGTTTGTGGATTTAGATTTAGCTGACAACAAGATCTCGCTTAGGAGTTTGATTGATCATTCGGTTGTGGAAAGCTTTGCAGCAGGGGGTAAAACGGTCATAACATCTAGGGTTTATCCAACACTGGCAATTAATGAGAATGCACATTTGCATGTATTTAACAATGGAACAGAGATTGTCACCATTGAGAGACTTGATGCTTGGTCCATGAAGAATCCTGTGATGAACTAATCTAGTTGTTTCTATGGGAAATCAAAAGAAGCTAGAATAGGAGAGGTTCTTTTACAAGTTTTGGTAATCAATAAAATTTAATAATGATGTATATTCACCACGTTACATGAGAAATAATATGATTCTCTTTAGTCGTTATCCGTTTGATTGACTGGATTCTATCAAGTGATTTAAATATCATCTACGAGCATCTAAAGCAAAATGTTAAAAAAGAAACAAATGAGCATCCAAAGCAAATAATAATAGCTGAAGATTGTAGCTTTATTCAATGGTGGTTTTAATCCAAACTACAACTTAATCCATCTATTTCTAGTTTTTTTGAACACCATCCCTCTTTCCACAAAGAAAAACATCCAGGATATAAATAACTTATCCAAGGCATCAAACATTTCACAACAGAAATCTAGTAAGAACATAGGATAAAATTACCAAAACTTCTAACTACAGTCTACAGACAAGAAAGAAAAGAAAGAACAATGGAAAACACCCAAAAAAAAAATTAAATTAAATTCTTACCCCGTAATCATAGTTCCAGCCCCTTCATCACTGAGAACCTCCAACAGCAAAGAGTGTTCCAGTCGCCCATCAATAATACTTGCTGTTTTAACACCTTGAGCCAGTGACTTTATACAGCAATTCACTTTTGGGATCATACCACCAGCAATCTTCCCATCCTCCATCATCTTCTTCACTCCTCTCACATCTATTTCCTTCACTAAACTCTCAGGATCATCTTTATTTTCAAGAATCCCAGCTACATCAGTCAACAAAAGCAACTTCTCAGCCCCCAAAGCTGCTGCCAGCTCCCCTGCCGCCGTATCAGCATTTATATTATAAGACTGGCCTGTCCCATCTGCAGCCACTGAAGCAATCACCGGAATCAGGTTGTCATTAATCAAGGGACGTAGCACTGAAGTGTCGACGCTGGCAATTTCTCCAACGAAACCTAACTGAGCAGCATTCGGAGAAGGACTAGCAGTGAAAATCCTCCCATCTGTTCCGCACAATCCCACAGCTGTCGCACCGGCTTTGTTAATCAAAGCAACCAAATTCTTATTAACCTTTCCAACCAAAACCATCGACACAATCTCCATAGTCGATTCGTCTGTCACACGTAGACCGTTGAGGAAATTAGGCTTAATGCCCAATCGATTGAGCCATTGATTGATTTCAGGTCCTCCGCCATGGACAAACACGATGCGGAGTCCGATGCAGGAGAGGAGGACGAGGTCAGTGATCACGGACCTCTGAAGCGCTTCGGATTTCATCGCAGCCCCTCCATACTTCACCACCACCGTCTTCCCACGGAACTTCTGGATGAACGGCAGGGCTTCGGAGAGGATTTTGACGCGGGCATTGGCAGGGGTTGTTGATAGGGATTCTGTGAGGACAGACTGGGAGGATGATTTGAGGCATGAAGTGGACAGAATTGAGGGTTTTTGCGAGGTTTTGATGCTAGGGTTTGGGAATGCTAGGGTTTGAGTGATTGAGGGACGGGGAATAATTTTAGCTGCCAGCATTTTTTTTTCGCGTCACTCGCAATGTTGCGACCGCTTTTGGGTTCTTCCTTTTAATAATTTAGATTCATCATATTATCATATAAGATTTCATCACGTTTTTGTTCCTTGTTCTATTTAAAATTATTGTTTTGAGCCGTGTATGATTTTTTACAAAAAAAAATGTTTTTATTTTAAGTTTTCATAAAGCTTGTGATTTTAAATATGATATGTGGATGTAGAATATATATGTACAACTTTAAATGGATATTTGTATTTTGAATGTTTCCAACTAACCAAGTTACAAATGAAGATCAACTAACCACTAACCAGGTAAGAGTCGCAACGCGTGGTCGTAATCAACCTAAAACCCTAAGCTCGAGCCTTGATCCCTATTTAAAGGCACTAGCAATTAGGGTTTCCTCTTTTATCAGCATCCAACCACTAAATTCTCTTATGCATGAAACTCTAATCGCATTCCTTCCATTTTTTAGATTTGTTACCTTGTTATTGAAACTTGAAGAAGAAGTACACCATTTGGTGTCAAGGGAAGCAAAGATAGATTCCTACCTTCTAGACACTTCCTTGTGCTCTTCAAGTCATCAAGTTCCTACCTTTATGGCTTTTGGTTTCTAGATCTAGGATTTTGAGCATATTTGGTCCCTTCTGTGATGATTATATAGAGTTTAGAAAAACTTCAAGTCTAAGGTTTATTTCAAATGGTTTTTTGGACCCATTGTAGTGAAAAGAATTGAATGCTAGCCTTCCATTTGAACCATGCATGAAGTTATTAGCATCTTAGGCTCATTTTGGATCTAGGGTTAGAGATTGTTATGTTAGAGGCATGCATGTGGATAAAGTTTGAAACTTTATCTCTTAAGACCATTTGTATAAGGGTTTGGGAAAGTATAAGCTTTTGTATTAAGATATTAAATGCTTAATAAAGGATTTGCATTTACCATAACAACATCACACGAATAAGGAGGGTTCACGACGTGAAGCTTGAAAGGCAATTGTGCTTGTTTTCTCGCCTAGTGGTTACGACGTGACCAAGAGCTGGGTCACGGCGTGATGACCCATTGACCTTTAAATTTTTTACCACTTTAACTTTTGGTCAAACTTTGATGGATTTGATGTTAGACCGAGGTATGATCTTTGTTTGGTATTATGTGGTTCGTGTTGGTTGTTCGTTTGAGGAGACTGTTGTTGAGTTTGTGATTGTCAAATTCCGGTGAGTTTTCTCACTATACTATGTGTGACATTATATGTCCTTTGTATGTTATGGTTATTGTTTACTATTAGTGTATATATGTGTTATTAGCCTAGAATAGTCTTATATTACATTAATTGGTAAGTCCTATAGGATGATAGTGTCACGACGTATAGTGAGCCTACAAGCCTAGGAGGAGGATGATGTCACAACTAGGAATTCTGATGCTTTGTAAAACCCTTAACCAAGATAACATTGTAGCTAAAACTTGAAAACATATATGGTGCTTATTCAACGATAACAAAATTCCATCGAATACTCTATACAAACATTCAAATAGTCAACAAAAGGTTGGAAACCCTAAAAATCCTGGATTAAGTCCATTTTGGACTGGGACTTCCTTATTGGGCCTAATGGACCAATAAGCTTCCAATTTGACT